ACATTTAACAACATTTTAAATTGTGGCGGTTATAGCCATTGTCCTAGATGTCTCTTTATGGTTCCAGGAGACTTACTCATAAATCAGAAGTTAATCAGAACCAACAATATATAAATAGGAAAGAAAGACTACTAGAAAACAGTTTTAAAATAATGATAGAAAAATTGACATGAAGGAATATAAGGGGAAATTCCGTAGCAAAAACATATAATAAGTGAAAAAAAATAACATTTATCAACTCTAAGCAAAAGGAATATGTGAGATCATGAGAGAAAAATGCCATCATTAACTTTTATGTAACTTCAGTGATTTAAAATAAAATGTTGTTAATGATAACTCCATTAATTATGTGTGACAGCTCAAAGAGGCTGTTTTTGGTTTATTAAAAAGAAGCATTTATGGCTTGTGAGAAGAGCAGGAGGCTTAGATGTTGTAGTGAAAAGTTTTACATATTTTCTGCAAGAATACATGATGCAGGACTTCTGGTAAAATAGCAGAATAGGCAGACAAGCTACACAGACCCTCTTCAACAAAGACAAGAGAAACCAATTGACAGAGATACAGAAGATAATCCTGGAACCCTGAGCTTTGAAAGGAAATATATAGAAGTGGATTAGACACTGACCAGTGGAAAAATTTGAATGAAAATAGTAAGGAGTCAGTTGGAGTTGCGGACTGTCAGCTATTCTGATGGCACCAACAGCCTGAATATTTCCAAGTGGTATTGGGACCTGAGAATTTACATATAGATCAGCCCTGGTCACCAAGGGCTACAGGGACAATTGTGCTGGTGGCCTATGACTAGGAAGGGAAACAGCAAGGAGGGAGACAACTTGAGCTGTAAACTTTTGGCTGTCTGGAGGATGCAGCCATTTTGATTGTTTATAAGTGGTTGCCATTTTGGAGATTTAAAGTGACAGCATTCTCATTTAGATTCCAGAGACCTAAGAATAGGTTGCATTTGCAAAGGATGTCTGGGACATACAGGAGGTTGACAATGGGAAAGGGACTGGTGAGTGTTTAAGTGCTACCAACTAGCAAATAAAGGAGCACAGTACCCTGCTTATGTAGATAACATCCAAATAAAACAAGGAAAACAAAAATCATGGGCAAGTCACTGCAACATACAATCACCAATTAAATATAAACACAAAAATGTTACTTTATCTCAGAGACAACAGAGCATCACTGTCCACACAAAGAAGGAAGATAAAGCAAGAGAGACAAGGGATCAGGATACGGACCCAGAACACATCCCTGAGGAACTCCCTGGTAAGGAATTTAAAAGAATTACATTTAGGTACCTTCAATGGATTGAGAGATAGATCAAGGAAAAAACTGACAAAATTGAGGAAAACACAGAGATAACCCTAGAACAATTTCAAAAGACAGTACAAGAAAAAAATGACAAAATATATGAAAAATTAGAAGTAATACAAAATCTACAGATTGAAATACAGAAGAATAATCCTAACTTTTCAGAAATAGATAACACATTAAAGAGGCAAAGGAGTAGAATTGAATCAATGGAAAACAGAATTAGTGAGATTGAAAACAAACCTCAGTACTTCTTTGGAAAGGGACCAATTGGAAAAAAAAAAAAAAAGAAAAAATGAAGAAGACCTAAGGATCATGTGGGATACCATCAAAAGGAATGTTATCATCGTTGTAAGGTGCTGTTGAATCATCTCCGACTCAGTGACCCTATGTATAACAAAACAAAAACCAGCTCCACGATCCTTGCTATACTTGAGCTCTTTGCTGCAGCCACTGTGTCACTCCATCGTGTTGAGGGCCTTCTCCTGTTTTGTTGACCCTCCACCTTACCAAGCATGACATCCTTCTTCAGGGAGTGGTCCCTTCTGATAACATGACCAAAGTAGGTGAGATAAAGTCTGGCCATTCTTGCTTACAAGGAGCATTCCAGCTGTACCTCCTTCAGGACAGATTTGTTCAATCTTTTAGCAGTCCATGGCACATTCAGCATTCTTCGCCAGCACCACAACTCAAAAGCATCAACTTTTCTTTGGTCTTCCTTATTCATTGTCTAGCTCTTACATGCATATGAGGTGATTGAAAATGCCATGGCTTGTGTCAGGTGCACCTTAGTCCTCAAGGAATTATCTTTGCTCTTCAGCACTTGAGAGAGGTCCTTTGCTGCCAACTTACCCAGTGGTTTGATGTCCTGACTCCTGCTTCCATTGACATCAATTGTAGAACCAAGTAATGTGAAGTCTTTGATAACTACAATCTTTTCTCTATGCATCATGATGCTGCTTAAAAGTCCAGTTGTGAGGAATTTTGTTTTCTTTCTATTGAGATATAATCCATCCTGCAGACTGTATTCTTCAATCTTCATCAATAAGTGCTTCAAGTCATCCTCACTTTTAGCAAGCAAAGTTGTGTCATCAAAAGGAATAACCTATGTGTAATCAGAATTCCAGAACAGGAAGAGACAAATAAAACCAACTGTCCAAGATTTGTTGGAAGAGAATTTCCGTAGTATGATGAAAGATGAGAACATATCCATTCAAGAAGTTCAACAAACCACAAACAGGATAGACCCCAAAAGAAAATCACTAAGGCATCATCATCAAACTCACCAAAACCAAAGACAAAGAAAGAATCCTGAAAGCTGCATGGGAAAAACGAAAAGCTACGTACAAAGGGCAACCAATAAGACTAAGCTTGGATTTCTCAGAAGAAACCATGCAGGCAAGAAGACGATGGGATGGTATATATAAAACCAAGAATTATATACCCAGCAAAATTGCAACTCAAATATAATGGTGAAATTAGGACATTTCCAGATAAGCAGAAAGTAAGGGAATTTGTTAAAACCAGACCAGCCTTACAAGAGATACTAAAGGGAGTCCTCTGGACAGAGAACCCACAATAGCACAACTGACCATGAACAACAACTGACCATGAACAACAACTGACCATGAACACACATGATGACATAACCCAGAAACCAATCCAGTTATCAAAGTATCCAAAGTAAATAAGCCTACAAGATTGTAAACAGGAACCAGAGATATCAATTGACAAATGAGGACAACTACAAACAAAAAAAAAGGGAAAAAATTGTGTAGTTACAGAACTTCTAAATGGTAGGGAAGTCAAGATAACTGAAAGATAGAATGGACTGTTTTAAACTTGGGAAGAAAATTACAAATCACAGAGTAACCTCAAAGAAAAATGATAAACCTTCACATTGAAATAAACAAGAGGACCAGCACAAATATTTAGAAAATAGTAAAACAATAGCAAGGAAGGAAATGGTAATACGATTCATAAACAAAACAAGCTCAGCATAGAAAATCATACGGAGCAAAGAAATCAACACCACCAAGAAAAAGCATGTAACAAAATGACAGCAACAAATTCATACTTGTTGATAATACACAGCCAAAAGAGTAAAAAGAGAAGGCACAGATTAGGAAAAATATTTTCAGCAACAAAATATCTGACAGGAGACTTATCTCTAAAATTTATAGAAAAATCCAACACCTTAATGGTAAAAAGATTAACAATCCAATTTAAAAATGGGTACAAGACACAAATAGACACTTCACCAAAGAGGATATTCAGGCGGTCACCAAACACATGAAGAAATACTCGTGATCATTAGACATCAGAGAGATGCAAATCAAAACAACAATGAGATACCATCTCACTCCAGCACTAAGGTCAAAGTTCAACAAGGCAGAAAATAACAAATGCTGGCGAGGATATGGAGAGATTGGGACTCTCGTCCACTGTTGGTGGGACTGTCAAATGATACAACCACTGTGGAAAGCAGTATGGTGATTCCTTAAAGCTGGAATTAGAAATACCATTTGATCCACCAATCCCATTACTAGGTATATATCCGAAGGAAGTGAGAGGCAGGACAAGAATAGATACATGCACACCCATGTTCATCGCAGCACTATTTACGATAGCAGAAAGATGGAAACAACCTATGTGTTCATCAACAGAAGAATGGATAACCAAACTATGGTACATACATACACACAATAGAATACTATATAACACTAAAGAATAACATACAATCTGCAAAACATCGCATAACGTGAATGAACTTGGAGGACATTATGCTGAGTGAAATAAGTAAATCACAGAAGGACAAATAGTGTATTAGTTCATTATTGTAAAAAGTCAAGGGATGGTTTATATATGGAAGGAAACTTACTTTGTTGGTTACCAGGCGTGGGAGGGAAGAGGAGGGAACACTGCAAAAAAAAAAAATAAAATAAAAAATTGACCCATGTCACTTTAGTTTTGTGTATTTCACTGTACATAAATTGTATTTAAATAAAATGCATTTTAAAAAAAGCACTTATTGTTCAACTCTTTAGCCTTTACATCGCCCTCATGTTCTTTGACACTTGTAGACATTTGAATCACAAAACAAATCAGCATGGAGTTAACTAATCTAATGTGGCTTTTCTTCAATTATTAAGATCTTTCTAGTGTTTGTCTTTCCCTCTGAACCTACAACAAACAGCCAAAAAAAGAAAAAAAAGCTTGTGTGTATTCTGTGTAGAAAGTATTTAATTAGTACAACTTTGTAAACACACATTTAAGCTGCTTACATTTGTTACACATACCTCCCACTATACCTTTAGGAAGTAAACACTCTTGTCCATTAGGTATCATTTACATCTTATTAGCATCAATAGGAAATGTAAACAAGTCACACCCATTTAATGTCACCTCAGGACTCTAGAGTTCAGTTACTATATTGATGGTGCGCTTGTTTGTAATGTGGAGCATTATACATAAATAATGAGTAATTTAATAATGATACATGAGGTGGTTAGAGAACATTGTCACAGTCTACTCTTCCATGTCATGAGCATGCTTCAACCACAATCCCTGGAAGAATAGGACTACTAAACAGAGGCATCTTATTTTGTTAATGTGTTGTTTCTTAAAGACATGCTAGCTAAGATTTTTTCTCCTATTTTTCTTTATCTAAATATTCATGGCAGGTACTAAGCACAAAACCATGCTAGAAGCCCGGAATGGAAGCGGGACTATCAAAGCATTTCCTAGGGCAGGAGTGAAAGGCAAAGGACCTGTTAATAAGGGAAACACGGGCCTACAAAACAAAACGTTTCACTGTGAAATCTGTGATGTGCACGTCAACTCAGAAACACAACTGAAACAGGTAGGCGGTACTCATTCTCAGAATAAAAGAAGGTAGGGGACACCCTCCACCCTCATGAGTAGGGTGTGTGTGCTGCTTCCTTCCTGTCTTCCCTTTCTCTTCTTCCTCTGTCATTGATCCAGCCATCTATCCATCTATCCATACATTCATCCTTCTATCTATCAACTATGCTTATCTCTCTTCATGCTTATAATAATTGCCGAGGGAAATATTAAATGAATGTAATGGCTTCTAGGACCTTCCAGAAATTGAAGTCTCCTATTCTTGTATATGAAAAGGGGTATCAGATCTTTATTTCTATCAGATTTTCCACTCAAAAGTAATGATTTTCTTTAAAGGTCAAATTGCAGCATTCCATTTCCACTTGTTTAGATATTTACATGCTAATTTTATACTTGCTATTCTTTTAGTTTATGTACTTTATTACATGGTGCTGTACTAGATTTCTATATCCTGCAGCCACCTGCTAAATGGATGACTAATCATGTTGCATTCACTTTAGTCTGACTGGCCTTCCAAGGAGATCAGTTACACATTGCCAACTGAAGGCCTAGCCCTCTTACTCTGTTGTTTTATATGCATCTGTACATATTTTGCTGATTTTATGCACCTTAGTTATTTATCTTCAGAATTTAAGGGGTTGACATTTGCCTATACAAATGTGAGGATAAATAATAGTATGGAAATAAATTCATGCCTGCTTGGGCTGCTTTGCTTATTCCCCATAAAATTCTTTCAGATATTCCTTTCCTTTGTACACTCTTCGTAAAAGGGAGATCTGTGCAGTGATAAAGGGGGCAGGTTTTAAAAAGAAGATCCTTCTATTTGTCAAAAATATACTGAAATATATCGCTTATAAATATATATCCTCAAGGCATTGGAATCTGAGCCCCAAAGTCTGTGCTCTTTACTTTTTGTCTTTCTGAAATGTTGTGAAATAATTCTTCCCAAGGTTAAAGTAGTGTTTGAGAATTTATTTAGATGCCTTTTTAAAAGCTATTATTTTAACTTACTTTTAACAGCACATCAGCAGTAGAAGGCACAAAGATAGAGCTGCTGGGAAGCCCCCAAAACCTAAATACAGTCCTTACAACAAACTACAGAAGGGAGCACATCCACTGGGGGTGAGTGTCATTTTTGTTTCCCAAATGATAGTCTTTAACGTCCCTGTCCTCTGCCTGCTGAACTTGTTTTTTTTTTTCCCCTGCCAGTTTCTTTATGGAATGTATACATGTAGTGACAAAAATAGATCTGAGGGCCCAACCCCTCATTAATCAATGGAATTTTTAGTTTCATGAGTTATTTTGGAGTTGTTTTACCTTGAAGCCACAGTTCAATGTTTCGTGTTTTTGAATTGGGTGCACATTTATCACAGCATAAGGAAGGAAGAAGGAACAAACTTTTTTGGGTCAAGTAAATAATCACCTGAAGTCTGATGTTGACATGAGTAGATACTTTTGGGAAAGAAGATGGGTGAAAATTAATTTCTTGTGTCTTGTGTGTGTTTTCACCACAATAAAATTAAAAAAAGGAAAAAAAAAAAAAGTTCTTAACACCTCATTCTGATAATCTTCAAGAGGAAAAGAAATGGTATTGTTGAGATCTTCAACAATTTTGGATTTCAAATAACCCAGTCTCCAGTAAAAGGCTTATTTAATTATTCATCCAAAGACACTAAATAAGGCAAATTAGACCTGGAAAAATAAATCCTGGGAAATCTACTCCCCACTTCACTCTCTCTATGTCTTTCCAATTAGTAAGTGTGCCAGTGTTAATGTCCTGGTCTGAAATTTTGAACTTCCAGTCATCACGGACTGGTATTTGTGGGCATGTACTTTTTCCAGTTGATGTGACCATAATTTTCGTCAGAGAATCTTGGTACTCAATAGAAAGTTAAGAACTTCTGACCTATAGTATGTGATAAATTGTGCATTTTAATATCTGTTTTCTTCACAATAGAATTTCATAATTGGTGTTATTGTATGCTGCTGATACATTAAAATATAGCACAAGGGAAACTTCAGTCGTCTATTATGAGTCGTCAGTCAGTATGGGTTAACTCAATTAATTTCATAGCATTGCTCATTTTTATGCAGATGAAGTCACTTTCTTCTTTTGTATGGAAGCAATTGTGGCTGATTTAGGAGGTTGTGAATTCTGGCCAGAGCTGATGTTTCAGCACCAGTAGTCATAACCCTGAGTGCTGTCTGGCTAGCATAGATGCAGCTTTTGACATTCAGGTGAATAAATAAAGTACTCAAAATTATGTTGATATTAGCATCTACCACCTGCTTCTTTAATCTCATGGGTTACTGTCTTCATAAATGAGACCATTCTTCCCATGACAATGGTCATCTTAATAGGATGGAAAAAATGGATGGACATAAGAGAAAGCAGAGTATCTCAAACTTTTGGAGGGATAAGTTTTTCTCCACTTCTCTGTTGAAAGTCAATTTTTTTCTTTTAATTATCTTAATTAGTACCTTACATAATCAGGAACAACATTCTGTATGCTACCTAGTATATACACTGAATGGTCTATTAGCAGTTGATAGTGTTAATGAAAATTTCTTTAAAAATATTTGTTCCTTAATGGTTAATGTTTTTCTTTGGAAGGTGGAGTTAAAATTGTTTTATTTTTTTCTCAAGATTAACATTTTCTTCTGGAAGTATAATTATCAACCAACAAATAAAATAAGGTTGCTGACTACCTTTCCAGAGGATATTTTAACAATCCAGGTTTTCGATTTTCAGGTATCTTCTGGCTCTTCCAAAGGAAAGATATTCTATACTTTCTATTTTTTATTCTATACTTTCCATTTTTTTTCACTGTCAGTTTGCCAAGTATGAGTTTATCTTTGTTGTTGTTAACTGCTATATATATCTATTTTAAATTTTTTTATTGTGATTTAGGTGAAAGTTTACAGAGCAAATTTATTTTCCATACAGCAGCTCACATACACTTTGCCTCATGATATTGACTGCAATTTCCCACAATCCAACAGCTCCCCTCCCTCTTCCTCCCCATAGTTACCTCTTCCCTCCCATGTACTCCTGTCCCCCTCCCAGCTGTCTTCTTGTGCATACACAGCCCTTCTATTCTCCCATGACTGATCTCTCTAAGGAGTGTATCTACCTAACTTAAATATTCAGCTCATATGCCTGTCTTCTGTTTGGCTGGAAGTCACAGGAGTGAGCTCAATTCCAGACCTGAAGGGCATCTAGGGGCCATAGTCTCAGGGATTTCACCAGGCTCTATCAGACCGACAAACCTGGTCCCTTTTTTTATTGTTTATTTTTTAATGATTTTGAGTTTTGTTCCACATTGTTCTCCTACTCTATCCAGGAACTTCTACATAAATTCCCCTCTGACAGTGGTTGACAGTGATAGCCGGGCAGCATCTAGTTCTTCTGGTCTCACAGTTGTGTAGGCTGAGGATCACATGGTGCACCAGACCCTTGGACTAATTGTTTCCATGCTGCTTTGTTTTCTTTTTTCATTCTTCTGTGGTCAGGATGAGGGGAGATCCATCGTTGCATCTAGATGGCCATTTGCAAGCTTTTAAGATCCCATTAGCTGCTATATTTTAATAGCTGCTCACCATTTTGGGTTCTAGGGAGACTGAAAGATATGTGTTCTTCTACTCCTTTTCCCTCTCCCTTGCAGGTAAAATTAGTATTTTCAAAAGAACCATCAAAACCATTGGCTCCACGAATTCTACCAAACCCGCTGGCAGCTGCAGCTGCTGCTGCTGCTGTGGCAGTGAATTCCCCCTTCAGTCTTCGAACTGCTCCAGCAGCCACACTGTTCCAGGCTTCTGCACTTCCTCCGGCACTCCTGCGGCCAGCTCCTGGACCCATTCGGACCGCCCACGCTCCTGTGCTGTTTGCTCCTTACTGAATTCCAAATGGGAGTAATTGTACTGCAATAATTTTTCAAAAAAAAAAAAAAACAGAAAACAAAACAAAAGAGAACTATGCAGTGTTTATTTATAGTTTAAAGTATATCTGAAGAGCCAGGACTTTTGATAGTGAATCAAAAAGATTATTTAAAAAAACAAAACAAAACAAAACAAAAAAACCTAGGGGAAGGCTGGGGTGGGAAGGGAGGGGGTGGTATTTTCTCCAAATTAAAGCATTCCTCTTGAACACTGATTGTTTTAGAAGTGATCTCCAGCATTGACTTGTAGTGGTATCTAGAATTTCTGAATTTGTGACTGTACTTTTGGGCGCCTGTTTCCCCCTGCATTGTCTTTCCTGCTTTATGAAACAACTATACATTGTCTAAGGGCATTAACTGGTTCCAATGTATATATAATAATTTACTCTATAGATTAAAATAATACAAAAAAAAAAAAAAAAAGACAAAAAACAAAAGCAACACTGTGAATAGTAGTACCCGTACTGGTCTTCTTGCTATGACAGCAGTTACTGGGTATTTATCCCAACAAAAGTAGATACAGTAGATGTCTTGTAAAACAATAGTGCTGTGTCTCAATCTACACCACTAGGTTTTAAAAGATTGTAAAAGGTAGAACAAACTATCTCATGCCAGTAAGCAGTCAAAAAATAAACACAAGATGATGTTGTAGAGGTCTCCCTGGTCAACATCCTTCCCGCTCCTACCCAGCTTAGACACACTGTAAGTTGAGACAGTAGAAGAGAGCTAAGCTTAGAAGTGGAAGAAGTATTCATAAAGGTGGTTTATTGAAAAATTCTAGTTTTCCACTCTGAATAAATATTTTTGGAAATAAAGAAGTGTTTGTAATGAACCTATATCTCAAAATAGGTAAACCCATGCATCATGGGTGTTTAGAAAGAAGTCAGTATAACTATTCTCTTGCCAGGATGATGGGTGATCATAACTTAGGATGATAATGCAAAGTAAATCTTTCACATTAGCACATATCCAATAAAAACAATATTACACCTCTGCAATATATATTTAAATGTTAGTAGCAACAAGAAAAATGAGTATGAGTTAATTGCATACCAAGGATATAACATTCAAAAAAATACTGGGAAGATCCACTGAACTGTTACTTCTCTAGTGAGTTACAAATACTGACAGCTATCAATTTTCACCATAAAGCTGAAAAGAATTGATGTTTTACCTTTAATACAAGATTTATCAGGGGTATATATAAATATATGTATATTGTATATATGTTAGATTAAGAAAATAACTTATAAAAAGAAAATATATATAAAACAATTATATAACCATCCAGTGTTAAATGTTATCATTAAATTGGTAACAGATGGCATAAAAATAGCTGTGCCTTTAATTTGTGATAAAGGCTATCTGCTTTTTTCCCATAGAAAGCTAAAATATACCTGTCAATGTGATAGGGTTTGATGCAGCCAATCTGTTGCATTAATAAGAACAATAGCACTCATGCTTAGAGCAAAGACAAAATGTGTACAAATCAACCCTACATGACTTAGGTTTAGAGAAAAAATATTTTTGGAAAGGTTTTGTAAAGATTATAATAAATATAGGGAAGGGCTGGGTATGGCCTTCCTGAAACTGCTTTTATTTAAACTGATCTAAATTGCAGTAACCTTGGAGAGGTATAAAGTTTCCAGACGAAACCATGCTTTGAAAGATAGGTATTTAGCATTTGTCATTTTATATTTAAGAAACACCCACAGCGTGCTTGGTGCTCAATATTAAACATGGTCTTTGGAGTTCTTCTCCACCATCTAGCTACAGACATTTGCCATATGTCTTTAAAGCATTTGGCTTTATATATATTTTTTGTTAAACAAACAAACAAAGAAAATATATTCCATGGATCTTCTGGAAAAAGAAATTCAAACAATGCCTCTCTAGTTCAACATGTTGATTAGCATTAAAATTTGTTTTTGAAAGTATCTGGTGATTTTACATTTACCAATTATTTCTACTCTTTGGTTTTAGCACATCTTTTTTTTTTTTTTTTTTCATTTTACTTACAGACCCTGCTAGTTCAGCCTGGTGGAGAGTTGTTTATGAGTTTACTACTTGGGGCTCTGTCTCAATCCCATGTGATGAGCTTCTAACTGTTTTGAATGTTAGTTTCTTTTTTTCCATTCTGTCAGACATTTTGATTGTTCACGATAGTCACCCTGAGTCTCTATCCAGGAACCTTTACACTTAATTCAGAAATTCTTTTTCCATTGTAAAACTTAGTGTTGATTGATGCCATATATCACTATGATGTGTTTTCACTGTTCTTCCCCAATTTCACCAAAGTGAATGAGCCAGTCCACTAGAAGTCAGGACCTGTGGGATACATTGAGTCCTGGATCATAAGGTATTACTCACCTGAGTGATTTTCTGGGAACAAATGAATCAGCCATATTTTCTCCATCAGCCATAATGAGAAAACTCAGAAATAACTGGATCCCTTTGGCCTCACTTCACTATGGAACCATTTTTGTTCATATAGTCTCTCTTAAATTGGAGTTGTAAACATCAGTTGTCTTTTACTCACTACCTAATAAAGGATGAAGCCTAACCATAGAATTTAGAGTGGATTCTCTGTGAATTGTTTCTCCCCATTCCACATATTTATCAACACCAGATCAACATCTATTATAGTTTAGACTTCAGTAAATGTATAGCTTTTTCCTTAGGGAACTTTTTTCATGAATAAAGATCAGCAATTCAGATTGGTCAGCAGTGGTGCTGTGAATATCCTCAAGGGAATATTCTGACTTTATGGGTACACAGCTCTCCCCATGCATCACACCCATGGCAAGAAAATGATAGAGAAAGCATCTCTGATTTCATTTGAAACAAATATAAATGCATTGCAAGAGCCAAATGCCTACGGAAAAAGCATTGTTGTATCTCATCCAGATCTTCCAGACAAATGGGAAACAGTCATTGGGGAGATACTGTATTTCTCTTCCAAGAAAACAGGTGATTACACATGACAAATTGCTCCTCTTACTGGTCTTAAACTTTGAAGCATGGTTGTTTTACTCACATAAGCAAACAGTTGGCTTTTAGCAATTTATATCACCACTGCCTCATCCGAAAAGGATTGCTATCTTTAGGTACTTCGTTGGGCCATCCCTCGTTTATTGCAGTCAGTCATTGACATTATAATCTGAGATATAATTTGTTTTTTTGAAAGGTGCTATGTATTTTGCTACCAAGAGACTATTTAGCCAAAAGAGTTTTTATATCTATTTGGAATTTAAAAGCCAGAAATCATAAATCAAAGATCACATGTTAAAAGACAATGAAATTTAAAAATAGGATACTAAGTATACAGTGGATATGCCCATATAAGTTTTTAAGTCACTGCACCGATATATTGTACACATGGGCATTACATTTCACTTAAAATTAAATTTTAAAATTCATTACTTTGCCTCAGTATCCAGGCAATGTTTCAACTTTCCTGGAGATCACAAAGGTAAAAGGTGACTCAAGTGGTCTAGAGGCCTCTGAATTCATGTATAGAAGTACCTTTCTGTACAGAAGCATAGTAACATTGTATTAATAATTGTACAACAAAGCACACAGGTGGGAAAACCAATGAGTCTGAAAGGAGTCAAAATCTACTGTAGATTTTGTCTCTGACAAGCAGGGTAACTTTAGTCAACTGATGCTTTGTCCTTAATTTGTTCCTCACTATAATTGGTGATGATGAAGGAAGGCTGTGTTGGTTTATTTCAGCACTAAAGGCTCACTTCTATCATCCTCTCAGAAAAAAGCAAAACCAAACAACAACAATATAACCAACAGGGTTCTTTTTAGGGAACCATGCAGCCACTTAAATATTTGTATGTGTCCAGAGAAAAATTCTGCATTCTCTTCTATCCTGAATTCACCCATCTAAATCAATCAGAATGTAGATTTCATGAAATACTATCAGAGGAGTTGTTAATCTCATTGTATTTGCTGGAGTCTTGTAGGATATACTGCCTTTCTTTCCCCGATGTAGAGCATTATAAATTCTGAGCACTACCAAGCTTGATATGAAGAGTAGAAACTTGGCAATGTGGATGTGGAAATGAGCAAAGATATCATAAATGTCTTATCCTTACTCCTTTTGCTGTACTTTCTCTCTTTAGTACTAAGGGTCCCCTTCTGAGCCATTGCTAATTCTGCCCTGAGTTTGAAAGTGTTTTAGCTAACAACCACCTTATTAAGTCCAGTTTTTCAGTAACCAAAGCATATCAATTTTAGCCTTCTTATTTTTAAAACAAGAATGATTTTAACTGAGTCCTGACAGTATTTTTTATACTGACTGCTGTTGCTTCTGTTAAATGGGCAATTTATTTCTGGGGCAACTTTTCTGTTCTTTATATGGTATTCTTTAACACTAGAGAGGCTACTCCAAGGGAGTGAAATGGAAAGTGTATATTATTTGACCCATTGCCTCTTTGCTAGTTCTGTGAGTGGTATCAGGACATCTGGTGACACATGAATGTGTTGACATAAAAGTTAGGCTGTTACTTTTGGTTTCATGGCTTACAAAACAACGAATTGTGATTAGGCACATTCTGCACTGGAAAAAACTCCTCTGTGCTACCTGATAGAAGTCCATTCTGATTATTAAGGATCATCGTTTAGAGAGTTCTCTAACTGGGTCATCAACGCTTAGGAATGAAGGACAGAGAATCACCTTTATTTGTGGTGTCTCTTTTCCCTCTTAGTGATAACTGAGGTGACTAGAGAAATTACCAAAATGCATTTGAAGTCAATTCCGATGAGTAATATGTGCAATCAAGTTGAACGTCTTAGAATTTGGACAAATTTACAGAGACCATGAAGAATGGAGTCATGTTCTTTTCATGACTGGCAGGTCATCTCTAAAAGCAATTTCCAAAGACTAGGGCTAAAATAAGAAGCTCTGATGGCATAGAGGGTAAGGCATTTGACTGCTAAAATAATTTGTGAGTAAAGTAGTGTTACTACAAGGAAGTAATTATAGTGACCAGT